GTTTTGTATTAGTGGGTCTTTTTCTTTAATTATAATCTTTAATTCTTTCTGGTTGCCTCTAGTAATCAGCCTTCGAGGTCTTCTTTTATCATGTTTTCTCTAATCCACCCCATTTTCCCATGGAAAGATTTCTTACACTTAACTTCAGGATCTTCATATATTTTTAATAGGATTTTAAATAAACCACAGGAGTCTTATAATTTCAGAATCTAATTTCCAGTCAATCTAGCCCCTTAGTTCATTTATAACTTTCCAAAATCCATGTTGAATCACCCTTTTGCTGCTTATTTCCAAATAAGATTTTTACATGAAATTTCTTTCATTGAGGATTGAAGGAAAATCACCCAGTGAAGTTAAACTTGTCTTTCTGAAGGTTCTTCATATCCAAAAAGCAATTTACAAGCCATTTTCAGATGTGATTAAGAAAGAAAGTGGGTGAACTCTTTAAGGGTTCAGAACTACGGCTTGAGCATGCTGACTCTCCCAGAGCTCTAAAACCTGCCAGAGACCGCTGTTCTTATGATCTCGTCATGGGGAGCCTCTGTATTGAGCCCTGTGGGCGATTCCAAGTCCTCCCCTTTGTCTGGGGAGGAATTTTGAGGTGCCGATCCGTCATTGGCTCTTCATTCTGCCACAGTTGTCGGCTCTGCTGAAAGCAAAGCTGGTTTGCCATTGCTTCCCCAGAAGTCAGAGGAGAAGAAATATGGAAAGTTAGGAAGAGGGAGAAATACACAGAGAAATAAGAGTGGAAAATTCCACAAGAGAAATCAAATCACTAGGTAGGCAATGAAAAAAATTAGAGATGCAGATGGGAGGGAAAACAAGGAATCTAGAAGGAAAATGCTTTGAGAAACCAAGGGAAAATGAAGCAGTAGGCAGAAGAGAGGTGTCAATCGAGGTGAATATGTGTAGCTCAGGGTTGAACTGTGGAATCCTTGGGGCTCTCTGAGCTTGGTTCTTTTCTTGCAAACGTTTCATTACCCAGCTAGGTAACATCTTCAATGCTAAAATGGGATGGGATTTGCTCTTTATGATTGCTGGTGACTGCTTGCTGGTGAGGTGATCTTCTGGTCTTTTGTCTCTTTTGAATAGTATGTGGATGCTGTTTATCTCTCTTTGTCTATTAATTGCTGCCTTGTCTGAATACCAGGCTTCCAAGAATTCTCTTGCATATTTGGATTTAGCTTGGTCTCAATTGCCTCACCAGCAAGCAATCACCAGCAGTCATCACCCAGATAAGCAAACCAGGCACACAATCAAGCAGTAATATGCTAATCAAGGAACTACCAGAGGAGCAAAACAAAGCCCCAACCCAAACCACCACTGGCAAGGCAGGCCACAGCACATAAATAGAGAGCAAACCCCATCCCATTTTAGCATTGAAGATGTTACCTAGCTGGGTAATGAAACGTTTG